TCCCACCGCACAGCAGGCCCTCCTGGAAGCCCACCACCATCACCACCGAGTGGAAAAGGGACGCTCAGGAACAGAAGCTGCATTCCGATTCCAGAGGGAATCTTCAGACAAGGATCCGTTCAAGGACAAATTATTCATCCTTCCAGCATAGCGATGTAGGTTACTCACGGCAACCTCTGTCCGCAACTACCGGTACTGTGCCACTCGTTGTGTGGAATGGGGAGACGGTCCTGAACGGGTCAATGCCCCTCTAAAGGCTAACTCCATATCCAGGTTTCCCAATAACCCTAAAAGGGCAATCCGTCAGGCCAGGGGCGAGAACTAGCCCCCACCCAAAGCAGGGCTCCGTGCCTGTCTGTGAACTCCCCGCACCCCCACCCACCCACCCCCCATCCCATGGCCTCAGGAAAGAAGAGGAGGAGATTGGGTTTATACCCCGCCCTTCACTACCTGGAGAGGCTTACAAACTCCTTTCCCTTCCCCTCCCCACAACAGACACCCTGTGAAGCAGGTGGGGCTGAGAAAGCTCTTTTGAGAACTGCTCTTGAGAGAACAGCTCTGAGAGAACTTGTGACTGACCCAAGGTCACCCAGCTGGCTGCATGTGGAGGAGGAGTGGGGAATCAAACCTGGTTCTCCCAGATTAGAGTCCGCCACTCCTAACCACTACACCAAACTGGCTCTCGAAGCCGGTGCTGCCACCACTTGGGCTGTTAACTAGGGAACGCCAGCTGGTGGGCAGGAAACAAATTTTCATCCAGGGTCACCAATTCTCAGCTCTAATTTCCTTTCCCTTTTCCCACCTGACACAAACTAAGACATGCCGAGGGACCCCAGAGGTGACTATTGTTGAATTTCTGAAATATGCCAAAGAATAGCATTTTTTCTTACACTCTACGAAGGGAGGTTTGACAGTTTATATGTGGTGCCTGTAATCTGCTAAAAGCAGCCAAAGAAGGTAATGGAGCTCAAAATAAAACAAGCACTGCCCGCATTTCACTGCTTCCAAACTTTTCCGATTTGGGGGAGGGACAGAAGCGTCCCTCTCCCGTTTTTCCCGTGGCGTCAGTATTTTGGGAGACGGCCCCCTCCACCTGGAGGCCCCCAGAGCTGGCTTCTTTGGGCTGCCCGGAAGCGCCTCCGCCTGTCCCTTCTCCTCTCCTCCTCCAGCCAGGCAGGGGGTCCCCTCGGAGGCCGGGCTCCTGCCTTCTCTGCCCGCCCCCCTTCTCCTCTCCCCGCAGCGGAGTCGGGGCAAGGACCGGGCTAGCCCCCCCCCGTCCTTCTTGCCTCCTTCACAGCAGCAGTTACCAAAATCCAAGGAAACCCAGCCTTGCCCTCCCCTCCCGTGGCCATGTGGGGCAAAGAGCAGCCACGCCACACAGCAAGAGGAGGCCGACCACTCTGCTTTCCCACCATGTCTCTTTTCCAGCTAACCTCTCGCCAGCCACAAGATGCTTCGTCCCAAGCCAAGCCCACTGGCGAGGGTGAGGCGCGGAGGGGGCTGAGGATGCCTGCCCGGCCCCACTGCGGCCGCAGAGACCCGCTCACCTCTGGGCATGACCCGGTGCATGGCAACCGAGAGGAAGAAGATGGAGTCGCTGTAGTAGGTGCCGTTGCCCGCGCTGAATAGCCTCTGCATGCCCTCCACGATGGGCAGCAGCTTCTCCGTCAGAACGGCCACGTCATGGAAGATCACCTGAAGGGGGGGGAGGGGAGGGGAGGGGGGGGGGAGAAGCAGCCAGCAGCTTGGCCAGGGCAGACCAAAACGGGCCCCCCGACTACATGCCCCACTGGGAGGCAGCTTGCAGTGGCGGCAGGGGGCCCAGGAAGAGGGGCAGTGGCAGGCACCTGCCGAGCTGCCCGCTGACAATCAAGGAATCTGTGGACCTGGGCATAGGGCAGAGAGCTCCCCCCCCCCAATGCACACAAACACCGGGAGCTGGAGTGACCCAAGGCAGCCCCTCTTCCCCCCCCCCCCCCACTGGTCCACTCTGACCCGCTGGGGGCCGCTCTCTGGGCATGGGAGGTGCTCCCCCCCCCCGTGGGGCCTTTCTCTGCACAAAGCCTGTGGCTCTGCCGCGTCTGGCCCACGAGAGGTTGGGCGAGCAGCGCAGGGCAGGGGGCAACAAGTCCGCTCCTGCCCCGCACCCCAGAAAGGCCCCCTTCCCCTTTCCCCAAGCGACCTTCCCTTCCGCGCCACCAGGGGTGGCCAGCCCCCCTTCGCTCACACTCGAGGGGCCTCGGCCACAAAGGAGGGAGGCGACTGGCTGACTGACTGACGGGCCCCCTCTGCTGGCAGCTGACGGCCTGGCACCCACCAGCCACGCCAAGGGAGGAGGCGATTGATGGTTTATTATTGGTTACTTATCTATTGATTATTTCCAGCGCCTTCGAGAGGAAAGGGGGAGAAAAGCCTTTCCTAATTTCCCGAAGCTCCCAAGACGCCTCCCAGGAAGCGCTCCCCCCTGTCCCCCGGGAGAAGAGGCCGGGCGCTCTACGGGCGAGAGGCCGGGAAGAAGCGACGGCCGGGTGGGGGGGTGGGGGGTGGCTGGGGTTGCGTCCCACGGAGGAGGGTCGGGCATTCCGGGGGCCGGGAGCACGGAAGCGATCCGGACCAGTGGCCTGGAACGGGGGGGGGGGCGCCAACGGGGCAGACGCAGTTCCGTGGTGTCGGGAAGCGTCCGGCGATGCCCTCCTCCTCCTCCTGTGGGGAATGACAGCCACGGGCGCCGCCGCCGGGCCCCCCTTCTGCCGGGGCGGCGCGCAGGGGAGGCCGATGCGAGGCCCGCCGGAGCCCCTCGAGGGGGGAGTCCTACCTTGTATCGGAAGGGGGCGTGGCGGAGGGCGTCCCGGAGGAGGTCCTTGGCGAGGGGCTTGCTGGGGGGGTCGCAGAGGAGGTGGAGGGCCAGGGCCTGGCCGGGCGGCAGCTTGCCGAAGCGCACCAGGGAGCGCAGCGCCGCCACGCCCTTGGCCCGCAGCCCGGCCTGCCGCTCCGCCCTGGCCAGCACCAGCAGCAAGGGCAGCTCC